ATTTTTTGTGGCCCAAGCAAAGAGAAGTGTTAAGTTAATTTGTCTTTGGTTTATTGATTGAGTGCCTTTCTTGTGTAAGTCAAGTCCTGTCAGGTAAGTTTTAAGGAATATTGAAAATAAGACATGGACATTACCCGCCCCCCCCAAAACGTTTACATTCCAGTAGAGCTATGACCATATGACTGACCACGATGAAAAAATTGCTAAATGTTGTAACAAATGAACAGAACCAGAGCTACAGGGATTCTGAGAATAGAGATATTATTTCTAATTTGAGTGAAGGAATGTGAGGAGTCAGAAAAGGCTTCTGAGGAAATTCCAGTTGAGTTGAATGAATGGGATCTGAGGTAGGGCCTATTTCAGGGCAGTGAGAGAAGTGAGTTGTAGTGACATTTTGCCTATTTTACATGAGAGATCCTTAGATTTGTAACCAAGTCTTCTAAGTTATAACCATTCTTCTCCAGGTGGCAAATGAAGTGAGACAGGGATGATCGACTCCTGGTCACCAAGTCACATGGAAGAGAAAGGTTTCCACATACATATTATAATAATAATAATAAGTATAATTAATAATAATAATAAAGGTTTCCACATAAGTATAATAATAATTAATAATAATTAATTAATATAAATAATAATTATTTATAATAATAAATAATTTTGTTTTTATGAAGAAAACAAAAAGCGGCCAATCTCAATTGTCTCCACAATATTAAAATTATACTGTGCATTTTGAAAGGCCTAAAATTTATAATGAAGCTCAGTGCTTCCTAAACCCTTCCATGACATAGCACACAAAGAAACTAATAATATCTCTTTATTATACTGCCATGCATCCCTTAATGACTAGGATACGTTCTGAGAAATTTTGTCATTGTGTGAATGCTTAGGGATGATGGTGAACAAAACAACATGAGATTAAATCAAGCACAAGAGAAATGATACAATCAAGAGATGCAGTAACATGAGATGTATGAGGCTGCTGCCAGTGTAACAGGCATACTGTTACATAGCAAAAAAAAATTTGTAAGTAGAAAGAGTACACTATAAAATGTGATGAAAAGTATAGTATGCTGAATACATAAACCAGTAACATGTTTATGATTATTGTCAACTTTATACACTGTACATAATTGTATGTGCTATATTTCTATATGACTGGCAACACAGTAGGTTTGTTTGCACCAGCATCACCACAGACACATGAGTAATGCATTGTACTATGATGTTAGGACAGCTACCAGGTGGTAGGAATTTTTCAGCTCCTTTATAACCTATGGGACACCATTGTATATGTGGTTCGTTGCTGACCAAAACATCATTATGTAGCACATTACTGTACTGGGGTAAAGAGATAATGCTGCTTATTATTAGAGGCAACTGGCCCAGAACTCCGTCTGTCCCAAGTCCAGAAGTCTGAAAGGTTCAATTTCTGGGCATTCTTGGAATCTATTGGGCAAACACCAGGTGAAAAGTTTTGCAGGCAAATAAAGATGATTAATAAGCATAGTTACTAGATTGATCCTGCATGATAAGTAATCAATGCATTGGGCATTGACATTGGTAAAGAAAAAAGGAAGAAATAAAATTTATTATGTTTTTTTATTGATCCTACCTTGACCAGGCTTTCTACTATGAGAAAGAGAAATTTTTATTATTGCACAGAAAGTAACATAATAGAACCATGGAATTCTAGTCATAGTAGTCCAATTATGAAAGCATCCAGAGTCATGAAATTTGCTATGATATACATTATGGGACTGGCTGATGAGAATAATATTTTGCATTAATCCAGTGAGCTCATTCCAAGCAGGTAGAAAGGTAGCCAGTAGATTTTTTAGGATTTTCATTCAATAAATACAGTAATGCAGTCTAAGTATTTGTTCATTTTTGAAATCCTGTCTTGTCCTAAAAATGGTTTCAACTAGTCGGGTACATTAGTCACACAAGGATTCAATAGTTTAAAGGTTGAAAGTTTAGAAAACAATTTAAAAGAAGGTTTTGAATAATAGGAAAAAGTAGATTTACATGAATACTTTTTTAAAAAGTTACACAATTGAGTGCAGAACCCTTGTGGAAAAATTCCTGAAAACCTTTATTGCACCAGCATACTTATTATTGTATTAAAAATTCTAGCAGCTGTGCTTTTCTTCTAAATTAAGAAAATTTAGAAAGCAATATCATGAGCTAATGCTACATCTAAGTGGCATGTTTCAACACTTAAATGTCATGTGTTGCCAGAATCGAGTTTTCCAGGAGACCTGGCTCAGCCCACTCCTCTTGGAGGCAGATGTTGGAGTGGTCACTCCAGGCCAGAGAAGTCAGCATTTCTTGGTTCTCCTTCCAGATTGTGGTGAGGCCCTGGATGCCCTTTATCCCACCTCAGTTTCTCTGGTGAGGCCCTTTGCCATGTGAAGGGGTTGTGGTCAAATGGAAATATTTGAAAGGTTGCCACATGGAAGAGGGATTTAGGCCTATTCTGCATGGTCCCAGAGGATATAACTAGGATTAAAGAGATGGTAGCTGCTGCAGAGAGGTGGATTTGGATGCTAAGTAGAGTTGAACTGAAAGGAAAAGTAGGTCTTCTTACAACTACCTCTTCCTAGGACAACCACTTCATCTAAACTATTTAATTTATTTATTCAATTTGCCAACTCATGATGTAACTAGGAGACTGAGATTCAGAGAGAGTAACTAACACCACTACTGAGGATGCCTAAATTAGACGTGGATCACGGTGAGACTTAAACCTGATCAAGTGTATGAAATTAGTGTATGGAATTAACCACTGAGTTGCACTCTCTGAAAGAAAATGGAGTGTGAGGGGGGGAGGAATCTCAAAATCAAACATTATTTAAAATGTAACAAGTTACTATGGATTTTTTTAATGGTCAAGATAAGCCTAAAATGTAAAGGCAAAGATTTAGGACTGGAGGTGGGAACACCAGCCTAGACAACACACCCACACCTATGACCTGTGTGGAAGGATACTCCTCCTGGGGAAAACCCAACCATTTGGCTGGAGACAGATCCCAAGGAAATAGCTGGTGAGCTGACCACCAGCATTGAGGTTGGTTTTAAATCAAGAAGCTGTCATCTTTCCTTTGAAAATCTTCCTAATATATAGAACTGTCCCAGACAGAACTGGCAGCTTTGGAAGATGGTGAGACCCTTGCTCTTAGGGCTGTTCAGACATAGCCTGGATGTGTATATGTGGAGATGGAGAAAGATCAAGATGTGAAGACCCTGAGGTCTCTTCCAATCTCTTCCAAGTTATCTGACCTAAAATATTAATGAAAGGAAGGAAAAGGAGACATGTTTGAAAAAATTAGAAGAGATCAAGGTCTATAAGAGACTCAGGTTTCTATACATTTCTGTACATGCAGAGTCAGGACTAAGGCCATGGCCTGCTCAGAAAGTCTGCAGATAACAAGCAATGTTAGCCATGACACTCATGTTTTAAAGAAAGAATCCCTGGCAATAGGAGAAGAATCTTCCTGCTCAACCCCTGTCAAGGAAGAGACCTTCCTTACACGACATTGTAGAAGAATGGACATTTATGACTTAAAACCAATAAGGTCCAGAGAAAGGACATAATTTTCCCAGTGTCAGTCCTCCAGCAAAGTCAGCCTCTGCAGAGGAACGCAGGTCTCCCAACTCCCAAGTTTAGGGAGGTTCTTTCCACTGAGCAGCACTACCTTTTCATCTCTATTCTTTTTTAAATTTTATTAAATTTATTGAGGTAACATTGGTTAATAAGTTTATATAGGTTTCCAGTGCACAATTCTTTAACACATCATCTGTATATTGCATTGTATGCTCACTACCCAAAGTCAAGTCTTCCTTCACCATGTATTTGACCCTCTTTATCCTATCCTATCTCTTCCCAACTCCCTTTACCTCTGGCAAACATCATACTGTTGTCTGTCTATGAGTCTTTGTTGCTTTCTGTTTTATATCCCACACATGAGTGCAATCATATGCTTCTTGACTTTTTCCATCTGACTTATTTCACTTGAGAATATCATCTCCATTCTTGGTGAGGATGTTACTTTGCCCCAGGCTGTGAGCTCTGTGAGGGCAGGATTTATCTCTCACACCTCTCTCGTTTATAACTGCCTCCCACCCCCACACTCCCAATGGGAGGTTCTTCATCAATCTTTGGGATCCCTACTTTCCTAATTCTATTTTCATTATTCTCATTTACCAACCTAAGGTACTCAGCTTGCCTAAACATACAAGTTGGAAATAGAAATATAAATCGTCTGAGAGATCATCTAATTTTAACCCCGGCATTTCATAGACGAGAAAACAGGAACTCAGACAGAAGTAAGTTGGTGTCTTAGACACTGATCAACATTGTGTAAAATGCCTATTAATGTGTACTAGCCTATGAAAGCCTGGCCACAAAGCATGGAGTATGGAGGGCCTGGTGGCTGAGCATGAGAAACAGGAGCTGAGACTGGATCCCTGGGTTCTGGTGATTTATCATACTGATTCACAGGCAGATGTTGAGTCATTTCTGGGCTTCGGTTTCTCTAGTGATACGAGGGGGTGAATGTTTTGCACATTTCTTCTCTTGGGATTGGTGTGGTGATAGCAGGCCAGCACTTGGGGAACTTTGGAGAGCCCTTCCCCCACCCTCAGGAGCTGGAGGCAATGGGGCATGTTTGGTACAGCCCTGCAGAATGTTCTGCCTATGAGCTCAGAGAAACTGAGGGGTGAAGGTGGGGGAAACACCATGTTCCCACTGTTTATAGGTTTGATGTTGTAGTAATCAAAACAGATTTGGTCTGGCAGGTGCCATATCTAAGTGACATTCCCTGAGTGAGTCACCTCCTTTGGGGAAACTCCCCTCGCCTGAACTTTCTCCTGGAGGGCAGGGACCATGATTAGCTGTTCTGGATACAGTGCCCAGCTTCCCCCAGGCACTTAACCATGCTGTTTGTGTTGTGTGTTTTCCTCCCACAGGGGCATTTTATGGTAAGGATAGACCATGGGTGGCTGGTTCCATTTTCTCAGGTTACAAGAGTGTATGGTCATCCACTCCTTTTGCAAAGGATTTGAGTCTATTCTGAAGGTTAGTGAGGCAGCTGCAACTTCTCTGCTGCAACAAGGAGAATCCCAGACCATGAGGCAGTAGAAAGACTATTTAACCAGGAGTCAGGATGCTTAATCTGAGTCCTGGGAGGTGAGTCATGGACATCTGTAGCACTTTAAGATAGGGTTTAAAAATTATGCACATACATGATTTTATATAGGCTTTATGATAGCCTTCAGCACATGGCATTGTATCACCATTCAATACCATTTTGTGGAGAAAGTGAATCTCAGGAAGTTTAAGAGACTTCTGGGTCCCAGGCATACAGGGCAGATCTGGACATTGATGTCTTGTCAACATCAGAGCTTCTTCCCATAAATGTTTGCTTTATAGCCCAGGGTCCAGGTTTCCTCTCTACAAACAAGGGTTTTGAAAGATCTCTACCATCCTGTCAAATTCTGACATTCTGTGGTTCTGTGGATTGGGTCATGTGCATCTTCTCTCTAATACTATATCCTTAGCACCTGAGTTTAAAATAATATTGCTATGCTGTGAGACAGAGAGAGATATCAGGGGGGAAAGTGACATGATCACCTTCAGCGGGTGGAGTGAGAAGAAAATTGGTTTGGAGCCAGAGAAAGGCAGCAGGCAGCATGAAATCTTGTCTCTTCTATTTATTAGCAGTGAGACTTTGAACAGACAACTAAACCTCTCTGAGCTTCTGCTTCCTCTCCACAGTTTTCAAATGAGGGCAATGGCACTGATTTTTCAGGTGGATGGTCATAAAGATCACATGAAATCCTATATAATAAAAGCATAGTATGCAAATTGTCCCCTCGACCAGGAGTTAGTCGGGGAGTTCGTCCAAGGGGTGGGGCCGGCAGGGGGAAGGGAGGGAGGCCCTGGCCAGTGGCGGTGGCAGTGGCAGGTGACTGGGAGAAGGGAGGGAGGCCCCAGCAGTGGCAGGTGGCTGGAGAAAGGGAAGGAGACCAAAGCTGGCAGCCAGCAGTCACTAGGGAACCTACCAGTGCATGAATTTCATGCACTGGGCCTCTAGTTGTTTTATAAAAGCTGATCCACTTATTACCTCTAGGCAGGTAGTAGTACTTATTAAAAGTTAGTTTCCATCCCTTACTTTTGACTGGTGGATATGAATGTCCAACTTGTCAAAAACAAATATCTGCTTAATTCCAGGTGCTTGTGACAGTATAGGCTGTATCTGCTGAAAAGGTGTTTAAGACCCCTGGCACAACTATCCACTGGAGTGTGCCCGGGGCAAAGTACACTAAATACGCATTATTTGATTGGAGGTGAGAGTGTATGGACACAACTAGAAGTGCCCTGTATATTAAAAATAATTTTAAGAACCCTTGTTTACCTTACATCATGTAAATTATGCTTATTGGTCCATAAAATAGCCATGTTTCCTTTGATATTAAAACTGCTTAAAACAGTACCTGAAATGTAACAAGTGCTCAATATATATTTAGTGGGCAAGTGAATGAAAAATAATGTTTTAAAGTGTTTGCCATCAGGCAAAATGAATGTTCAGGGAAGATCCATCATACTTAACAGTAGCCTCCAGGATCTTGCTGTATAACCCTGAATCCACACCCCAAGGGACATGAACCCCACAGAGATTTATCCTTTTATTCTACAGTTGATACATCTAGTAAAGTAATAAATGCTGAGTTTGTCTAAAACCCAGGTGTCCTGAGCCTCACCTCAGGCTCATATCACTGCAACCCACTGCTTTGCCCTCAAGTTTCTGCATTGTCATGCTTTTAGCTTCTCTACAATGTCTGCTTCTTTGGTTCCTCCATCTACAATACTAAAGGTTAGAATTAAACTTTCCTTGGGCCGTGCTTTGCTAGGGCTGTGTTACCCAATTTTGACAAATACTCTGACCATGGCTGTTTTCAGTATCCTGCTTGAATGGTCCTATTTGTGAAGGACTTTATGACTGTTTGGTTCTTTCTCCTATTTTGTCTCTAGAGTGTTTAAGGAGCATTTGGGGATTTGCCAGGTAAATTTCAAATCTGGCCTTGTTTCTAAAGAAAGGAAAGTGAGTTCTAGAGTGAAGAATGTCTCTGTCAGATGTAGTCCCTAGAATGACAATCTGAGCTCTCTAATTTTGCTCCTTTCAGGGACCTGTAAGCATACCAGTTTGCCTGCTTAGGCACTGTCTCCTTAAAGACCAATCTGGGAGACATCCAGTTTTGCTAACCTGGCTGCTACCTTTCCCAAGGTATTCTCTTCTCACTGTAGCAAACATTCCCTCTTTCTTCCTTTCACCACCCTTCCCACCCTCCCCTGGAACTCTTCCTCTGCCCAACATTTCCCTGGCTGTCAGAACTTGCTTCCTGTTAGTTGCATCTGCCTTAGCCTAGGTACACCCCAGTGCAGTATCCTGACAAAACAATGTGTTGTGGTGATGCAACAGCCCAAAGTGTCAAAATAATTAGGTAATTAAAACAGGGGAAGGTCAGGGTTTCCTCTGTCTAAAACGACAAACACACTCACAAAGAGAAAAGCTAAAAATGGAAGCCAATTGTACATCCCCCTGTCTCCATTGATCCCAAAGCCTGATACCTACAATGGATCTTTTAAGGAAACCAGAATAAAAACCCAACTGATTTAGAAGGTGTGGCAAGTTTGAACACCAAGGAATAGAACATTTTTAAGGTTTCAACACACTCCTTGTCTTCCTTGTTTGTTTTTACACCAGCCCCACCCTAAGTTCCTGCTGGTGCAATGGCCCCAGATAGTGGCTCAATGCCATGGATGGGACATTGCTCAAAGTGGGCTGTGGGTGCTGAGGGCAAGTCTCTTCCCAGGAAACCAAGTCCTCAAGATCATCCTCCCTTGGCTTTTATTTGTTCATTCATCAACACTCAAGACTTATTAAGAGCCTGCTATATCTTAGGCATTGTGCTTGGTGCTTGGTTGGGGGTTAGGGGCAGAGAAAATTCAGAGCTTAATAGGAAATGACCTCTGTTCCACTAGAGCTCACTCTCTAGTGAGAAAGGTGGACATATAGAATAACATCATAGTCTGCTGTGATGATGGGGCTCTAACTTAGGGCTGAAGGAAGTTCTAGAGGCCCGGAGAAAGCTGTGACCAACCCCATGTGGGGAATCTAGGAACAAGTGACTAAGGAGGTGACATTTGAATTCTAACCTGAAGGATGACTAAGGCTTCTCCAGACAGGTAGGAGGAAACTGCATTCTAGTTAGAGGAACAGTACATTCAAAGTGGGAGGGATGAAATATCATATTGTTTTCTGAGAATATGGAGTTCATAGAAGCTAAACTTAAAGCTATGTTGGAGGAAGGCATGGCACTTTTGTCATTCAGGATCCGGTACTCAGAACTGGCATAGCCAGACCTATGACCAAAACTATCTGCCCTCAGATCTTCATATCTTTTGCCCTGTGTCCTTGAAACAAAAGACAACTGTGTCTGGATGCTGTGAAAGTTTGGGGTGTGCTCCACTACCAACTTTGCAGGTGGAAACTGCATCAGAGAACAGGGAGGATTTCAATGGTTAAGGCACTTAGGAAAAAGAAATTAAACAACTTGTCAAATCCTTCCTCTCAGATAGCATAAATGTCATAGATCCTTGATAAGAAAATAGTGCTAAGTGTCCATTTTCTTTGTTCTAATTAATGACTCTCCAGCTCGTTCTGAATTAGCAAGGATTTCCAACAGTTATGCATGGCAGCTGAGGAACACTTTTGTAAAATTAAACAATTTATTTTACTCTTAAATTTGTATATATGTAGGCTGAGACATAATCCGTATGACCAGGGTAATACAGATTCATAACATTTTCAGCTAAGTGAGCATTAAAAACTGGCATCATAAATAGTTTAACTTTTTAAAAAAATGAATAAGATTTCATTACATTTTAAATAGTATTTACTTAAAATTTTGTAACTATTAATTATAACCTATTTTCAGTTCCCTTTTAAATTTTAATTAATAATCTTTGCTATCCAAAATATTTTGAAGCAATATTTTTTAAATTATATCGAAAGTAGTTTAAATTTTTGAATTTTTATATTTGTTTTCATTTACATTTTAATGAAAATATGTTCCAATTTTATGTTGAATACAGTTAACTATTTGTTTTATAATCCTTCAGATCAACACTGTCCAGTAGAACTTTCTGCTGGGATGGAAATGTTCTATGTCTGTGCTGCCAATGGTAATCACTCGGCATGCAGATACTGAGCTTGTGAAATATGGCTACTACGACTGAGGAACTTTTATTTTATTTTTTTATTACATTTTGATTGATTTAAATTTAACTATACATATGTGGCTACTGGCTATCCTATTGGGTAGCACATTTTTAGATTACTGAAAATAACAATCTAGATAATAATATAAATAGAATTTCTTTCTGAGAACTAGAGAAATAGGATTCCTGAAAGATAGAAACTGTGTCTTTAAGGATGGAGAAGGGGTGCTTTTGTTGTGATGATTCCCTTCTTATTGTTGACTTTCATACTTATTGAGAACACAGATTGCTAATATTCTGTCAGCTCAAATATGTCTAGGTTTTCCAATTGTTAAGATGTTTAGTGGGCTAACTCCCTGGACTAATTGACAAAGGAAACCTGGGAAAGACAGGTGGTATCTGGGTGACTGGGAAACATTGGAAAACAAGACCAGGAGTTTTCCTTACTTGGATCCCTTAAATGTAGTCTCCCTGAATTTCAAGCTCTCGTAGATTTTTGAAGGGCATTTAAATCCACATATTCATAATCTTTCCACTCTTCATATATAGGCATCTCTTTTGCATAAGGTGTCTGATGAAGGAAAGGACTCAAAAGGTCTACCTGTCAAGGGAAATTACATCTCCATCCATATCCATATCCATATCCATATCCATATCTGTAGCTACTTGCCCAAAGTCTTTCCGACTTTCAAATATTCAATTTAAAACTTGTTATCAGTGAAAAAATCTAAACTGGACCTATCTTTGAAGGTGAGGACATATTAAGGAGCAAATCAAATGTTCAGTATCTCTGAAATGACTGCTGGGTGCAACATACCATTTGTTAAGGTGTTTTTCTTTTAGTTATCTGATTAACATAAAATTTTATATTATAAAAGAACATAATACCATGATTATGGAATAAAAAACCACCTACAAGTTTACTATCTTTATAAATCACGTATTTCCATTTTTTCCTGTCTTTTCCAAAAATGTGTATTTCTCACAGTATTAGACATGCAGCACAAATATAACTTTGCATTCTAATGTTTTTCATAAGCATCACACAATGAACAATTCCAATGTAGTCTTTATAATGACATAGCTAAATGGCTTCAAAATAGTACATTTGTGAATATATTGTCATTTATATCAGCATCTCAAAATTACATTATATCTAATTCACTTTTTTATCAGCATTCCAAATTTACGTTATATCCAGTTTACTCTTTCTTTGGCTACTTTTCTGTTGTTCCTTTTCCTAGTCTTGGACTATTTTCTTAGAATAAATTTCCAATAGTGGAATTGTTGGTTCAGAAGAGATGAGAACTTGGTAAAATTGTGAGTTATTATCCTCTCTAATTTATTTACTTTTAATCACATTTAAATCCCTTATTTAAGCAAACTAACTTATTAGTTCACCAACTCACTAACTAGCTCAATGTCCCAGTTTCCTGATTTGTTGTTTTCTTCACATCCAACTGGTTCACAGAGTTGTTCCTTCCTGACAATGAGCCTTATAATTGTTCCTTCCTGTCAATGAACCTCTAGTTCACACTTCTTTACACAAGTAAGTTGCAGTGATAATTTTTGCCCTGAAGCGTGATCACTTCAGAGAGCTATTGTCTAGCTTTAAGGAATTCCCCATCTGCAAAAGTGTCCATGAGACACAGTTTCAGTGATTGTGAAAGGAACTTACTGATAAGCCAGGTAAAGACTGGGATCCTGGCCATCTGCTCTTTCTGTTTCTTACCAATTAAATCTCTGCCAAGACACCTTGGGCTCTGCCACCAACCTGTCCTACCAGCTCTTGCCAAAGTGCAGGCAACCATGTGAACATGGGCATGGGCATTCACCGTACACCCACTCTGGCTAGAACTGGCCTAGATCCCATAAGGGACCAGATGCAATCTTTACCCTCAAGAACCTAGTAGACTGAAGAGATAAGATATATACACTTCAAGAATATGGCTGAGGTTCTATGATTCTAGAGAGGTTTAGAAGATATGGATAATATCATAGACCCTAAGCTGGGCCTAGAAGGACAGATAGAATAGAAAGGGCATAAAGGAGTATAGAGGACATTTAGTTTGGAGACATTAATTTCTTCATCATTCAGTTGATAATCATCTATTACATACCAGGCCCTGAGCTAGGCTCTGAGGAAACAGATGAGTTAAATAACATCCCAGTTCTTCAGGAGATCACAATACTGTGGGAGACACACTCATAACAAAATCATCACCATGGTGTAATGCACACTATCACAGAGGAATTGATAAAGCAATGTTAATGCAATGGCCATATCTGCCTGTCTCACAGAGGAAACTTCCCTCCAACCAAAGGGATCTGTCATATTTTATGAAGATCACATGAATAAAATGGGAGATAGCTGTAGCAGGGTGGAAAGAAGAATCTGCTTAAAAGTTCTTGGTGTTTATTTGACTCTGCTACTTTCCACCTATGTTATTGTGACCAGGTTCCTCAAAAGCTCTGGGCCTCTGTTTTGTCATGTGTAAAATGGAGAACAAAATACTTCTGCAAGGACTGAAGGAAGATTGAAAGAGAAAGAAGTTAATAAAGGGCCAAGTAAAAGAAGTTCTCATCACCATCATCATCAACAACACTGATAACACATATGAAAGCACTTTGGAAACTCTCTAGCCCAGTATAAATGAGCAAAGTTATTGGTGTGATGACTTAATTGTTACCACAATTTACCTGTCCTCATCTTCCAAGCTCTTGGTTACATCTGGACACAAAAGGATGTGGCTATAAATAAACTGGGTTTACTCCTGGCACTCACCACATCTTTTTTCTTTGGGTAAATCCCACCCTGGAAAGCCTCAGAATGTTAACTTTGCATTTTTAAGTCCTCCTGAACATGGTTATGAACATTTTCTTTTCTTTAAGGAAATTAAATCATGTAGAGTCCACTAAACCTAAGACTGTTTAAAATGCATGGAGAGTTGGCCACATGCCTGGGGTTCACCTATTCATCCAGGCATTACTATACAGGCCATTTATTTCATAATTTCTCACGAGAAGCTGTGGCAATAGCCAGAGATGACACAGGTGACAGATGAGTCAAAGAGACAGGGTGACTCAGAGATAACCATCTCAGCCCCACCCCCAGCCCCCAACTGTCATTCTTAAGCTTTCTGGATTTCATAGAGATTTATATTTTTGTTTGGATATTGCTTCAAGGAGATTAAAGGATCTGTATTCCTGGAAGCCTCCTTTTCTGTTTCTTTCCTGGGGCTCTTCAGACCATGCTCCAATTCATTCCTTTGTAATGAGAACAACTCAGATTCCTTGAGAATTTATTCTATGCCAAGAATTGTACTCTGTCTTTTACACTCATCATCTAATTTACTCCTCATATTATCACACAGGTACAATAGTTATCCACTCTTCACAGATGAAGAAACTGTGGAATAAAGAAAGTAAGTAACGAACTAAGGTAAGTCCAAGAATACCTGGTAGAGCTGAACCTAGATTGTCTAACTCCAGAGCCCATGCCTTTGACCATTCTATAATTTTGCCTTCATCAGATAGGAAAGCCTGGAACCACCAAGCTGTCACCTCAATTGTGAATCAATGTTGAGTACTGTCTTAGGGTGGGCTTCTTGTAAAACAAGAACTGTGGAGGAGAAGAAATCAGCTGAAGGATGTTCTAGGCAGCCTTCTTCCTTTGTGGGCAGTTGAGAACACCTGGCTCAGGGAACATGTCCTACATAGCTCCTGCTGGTGGTTTGAGAAGGTCTGTGGTTTACCTTAGTAGGAAGAGAGAACAACATTTTTGGAAGAGGAAGAGCCAAGCTGTTCAATGAGTCACTTCCAGATTCCACCAGCCTGTATTCCTAGCAACACACTTAATTTCACCTTGAGAAAAATGTGAGGAAGTTTATCATCACATACATAGTTCTGACTATGTCTTTCACTGCTGAAAAGCCTCCAATATGATTTGGAATGGTCCCAATCAGCAGTCTCCCAACTTCTCTGAATATGATGTCCCACAGGTATAAAAGATTTGTCTGGAAACCCATGGTGTGTAAAACCATGCTATTATGAACATTATAGAAATAAATAAAAAATAGAAATTATAAGAGAAAAGATAAATATAAAATAAAGAATACTTCAATACTTGCTAATCTTCATAACAGCATACTATCTTTTCTACTACTTCAAGACATAGTCAACACTCTTACCAAAGTTTATCATTAATAATAGTGAGTGTAAACCCATATTTCAAGCATTCTTCCTGAGAAATATTTTTGTTGTACTGCTTGTTATATCTGATTAGGTCATCATTGGCTTTAGCCCCTGAAATGTAGCCAGTGGAAAGCCAGGAATAGGAGAAAAGTCAGCTCTGCCTTTTTCTTGTTTGTTTGTATTTGTTATAAGTATTATTCTCAATCCACAGGTTCTTTGAAGGGATATTTTAAAACTACTTGTCTATTCTGTGAGGCTTTATTTACTTAAATCTAAGTAACCAATCCATAAATCCAAGACACTAACTAAATGAGAACAGCAGTCTAGGTACCTCGTGGACTCTCTGGGGCAAAGAATCCTCTCTACTCCTTCAGAATAACCTCAGTTGGAGATGTGGCATGAAATTATTGGATATGGGGATCCAAGCAATGAGGGATAGGATTTATATATGAATTAATAGGAGTGTATATAATAAATAATAAGAATTTTAAAAAATGTTTTATGTAAATAAAAGTAAATGTAAATAAAGAGTCTAGTATGATTTGCACACCCTCCTGAGAGAATGCACTTTTGGGGGGAAACACCTTTTCTACCAAGATTTGATTCCTTTTCCTTCTAAGATCAGTGACCTACTTCTTTAGCCATACCTCCAACCATCAACAACCCCTCCCACTCTCATGATTACCCATACATTGCACTATACAAACAAACACATAGGGTTGGTCAGATTTCTCTGAAAACTTTCTTCACTTGGGCCTTTGTTCATACTGTTCCCTCTGCTTGAAACACCCATGCTTTTCATTGTTATCTTTGGACAATTTTACTCTTCATTGAGGCTCACCTCAGGCTCAATCTCCTGAGTGAAATAATAACAATATCAACTACCATTTATTGACCTCTTACTACCTGAGGGATTCAGTATTACCTTCACAACAATTTTAGGGGATCTGTACTATTATAAGAAAGCTGGGGGAAAGAGAACTGCCCAAAGCCACACAGTTTTGGGGAGACGGGGAACCAAACCCATGAAGACCTGAAATTCCTACACTCTATCACTGTATGTGTGTTTCAATTTAATTTTATTTGTTTGAACTAGTAAAGCCTTCACTAAAGCCTCCCTCTCCTCCTTTGAGTGAGGAGATGGAAGTAGTTACTCCCTTCTTGAGTTTCCACAGAAGCTTGTTTGTCAATTTCATGTAGTACTTTTTTTTTCATGCTGACATATATTGCTATTATATGTGCACATCTCTCATATCCCAACTATACTGTGAGCTCTTCAGACAAGGGACTACTTTGGATTCTTCACAGCGCATAGCAGAGAATGTGTAAATATGATCATCAAATGAATGAATTAAAGGTCCTAGGTTGGATATAATTTTTTAAATTTATTGTTGAAAGTACTATACATGTCTCCCTTGTTTTCCCCATTGACCTCCTCCTCCCAACTCTTGCCCCCTTCTCAGGCTTTCACTGAACTATTGTCTGCGTCCATAGCTTAACTTGTTATTTTCCTTGTGGTCTGAGATGCAAACTACAAAGCTATATAGATGTGGGTCTGTGCTATATTACAAAGATTGCAATATTTATAAAAATACTGGAGTTATACTCTTTAATATATACTGACTGGTTGATAGAGACTCAAACTTATATTTATGTAATCTAATTTTAAAAAAACTGCGACCAATAAAAAGCCATCACCTTACAAACTACCATTGAACATCTTAGATTACTAGAGAAGGATATGGGGGCAGGTCATTCTAAAGTTGACAATAGTTAATGCAGTTTAGAGAAGAAACTTTAGCTCATTTAATCCTGAAAATAACATGCGCACAACACACAGCAGTTTAAGAATTTTTCTTTTTTTCATTTTACTGATTCAGAAATTGAGACTTATAGCCAAGAAATGGCAGAGCCCATACACAAACCCAGACTTTTGGACTCAGATACTTTAATCTTTCATCACTCTTCTCAACACAAAATGAATCCTAGAATGTCAGACATTTGAGCTATCAGAAACTCTTTACCTTGGGCATAGAATAAATAGCCTCATTTTGGTGTTTTTGAAATTCTGCTCTAGAGAAGCCTGCTGTCTTGAGGATTGTGCATGGCAGGGAGGGACTAGGTGATTCTAATCCCTGGATGACTAAACAGAATCCCAGTCCATCTGTGATAAATATCCCTTCCAAGGGCCACAGGTGTGTACAACAGAGTGCGCGTCTTTCTTTTCCACCTCAGTGCTAAAACCATCATAGAAGCCTTTCATCCTTTGCTCAATTAATCCTTCATTTTTTATTTTCTTATTAATGTTTTACTGCGTCCTTCTGTGGAGTAAAAAAGCAGCACTCTGATAGCTGTATAGTAAAATGGACTGGCTTTATGTACCTACTGGAGGCAAGGAAGCCAGACCAAGGGCTTCTTTCCTTGTCCTCAAAGGCTGGAGGAAACAAAGGCAAAACCCAATGACTGAACGCCACCTATACCACCTTCCTTGAACACGGTATCAATACCTGGACAGCAGCAACTATAGGGTTCCTTGAAGAGGCCATGGAAGCCACCTTCAAGTACATCCTATTTTTAAAAAGGGGTGTAAGTGAGGGGGTATAAGCTAGGTTTACTTTGGTGAGTCCCTGGAAGAAAAATTAAAAGCAACCAGCTACCTATTCCTTATAAGGCTGAGCTTTCTGATAGAAACGTACAGCAAAAAAATGTGCTACCTTCTGGAATAGTGAGCTTGCTGTCATTGGAAGCATTCAAGCAGAGGCTGGACCATCCCTCCTTGAGAGTAGTATATAGAGCATATATTTAGAGAGTAGATAGTTTGGCTAGATAAATACTAAAATACCCCTCCGAGCAATGGCATTTTGTGTTCCTCTAAATATTTCACACTTGAATGCCTTAGGACAGTGGTCAGCAAACTGCGGCCCCTTGAGTGTGGCTCTTCCACAAAATACCACGTGCGGACGCGCACGTACAGTGCGATTGAAACTTCGTGGCCACACTCAAGGGGCCAAAGAGCCGCATGTGGCTCGTGAGCTGCAGTTTGCCAACCACTGCCTTAGGAGATGGATTCAGACAAAGCTCATCTGTTCTGTAATACTTGGCTACAGTACAACGCCTGCTGCTTGGTCAAAAGCATTTCATAGGCAGCTGTTACCACCCCTATTTCAGAAATGTGGTGAAAAGGGAATTCAGAGACAGGTGAGGGGCCTGCCACCACATGAGCAGGTGGGAAGAGGCCCCCAGCTCCGGAGCTGTCTAATGCCTGAGCCTGCACACTTCTCAACTGGATCTTAAATCAGTGGTTGTCAACCATGTGCAGTGATCCCACCACCCCTGGGAACTCCTAGAGTTTTCCCCTTCTAGTTTATAAAGTCACACAATTCCAGTGTTTGAATCTTTGAAGTCACAGAGTCAAGCTCTCTGGGATCCATAGGAAAGCAATGTTTCCCACTGGTTCTAATTGAGAACTAGAAAATGGAAATGAGCTCCATGGAATCCTAAGGAATTCTGTCTGGGCCCAGAGAGAAACAGGGCAAAGGTCACAACCACATCTTCTGCCAGCTTTTCCTGAGGAAGCCAGTCTTCATGGAGGGAAAGGGCTGAGTTCCAGGAGTAGGAAAAACAATATAGTTTGTTAAGATTGCAAGCACTTGGAGCAACAATAAACAATAATGGCACAATTTTAGGAATCTTTCTCTGGAAAGGTCTCCGTATTTCACAGATGGGGAAGCAACAGGATCTATGAGAAAGCAATGAACTGGTAATCAGAAAATCTGTGCCACCACTGTCTTGCTGTGTGACCTCAGCATAACACTTAACCTCTCTGAGTCCTGGTTTCCTTACAAGGATGACAATTTGCACCTAGGCTTGATTAGAGGGTCAGATGAGATCATGAATGTGAAGCACTTTGTAGCTGGTAGAATTAGACAAATGGGAAGTGTTAATATGATTGTGCCTGCTTTATATACTTTTCCTGAAGTGAGTTGATGTTATTGTTACAGTATCCTCTATTTCCAGGAAATCAAGAGACGGAGATGTGAAGTGACTTGGGTGCCTGGACTAAAAGATGAAGTCTCCCTACTTTACCATGCCTGACCATGGCCTGGTACTTTCTCTCCTTCTGAGAATGATACTATTACATAACTGTTTGGGGAAGCCCCCAGACCAAGGACACTTCCTTCTGCCCAGCTGTGTGAGACATTCTTGGGTGGAATCAGGAAGATGGCCACTTTCACATCAACTGGGGAGGCCCAAGACCTACCTTTCTTCTCCCCACACTCCCACTGCCCACACCCTGCTCTTCGTGTGGTCTCTGCTATTGAGCAAAGGGTGAATGAGGGAAGTAATCTCTGGTCTCTCTCTGGTTCTCTGCCTCAAAGAATGTCCCAGCCATCATCTACCCTACACCCCTGTCCCCAAAGCACTCTTCCTTTTGCTTCTCCATCAGTGTGGCCTCTTCTGTGAAGTTCTCTAACCATGGGTTTCCCCAACACCTCCTCTCTATCCACAGGCTGCCCCTCATCATCATCTTCATCTCAGAAAATGAGACAAAAAAGACATTCAAGTGACTCATCAGTCCACATAGCAGGAGCAGAAGCAGAGAGAGTGAATCTGTAGGTCCAGATGAGGATTTCTGCAGGCCTCTTGACTGTTTCACAAGATCTGCTGAGATTCATGACAGATAAGATATAAAAAGCTGAGTGGTGCCATGTTGTCTCCAACAGCAGCCAGTATGAAAGTGAAGTGTGATTGCCACCTCCCCAAAACGCAGGGCAGCTCCCGCCTCTTGTGCTCAGCTGTGGCTCAGTGGCTGGCTAGCCAGTCTCAGGACAGTGGCCTACACAGTCAGCACCACTGAGCCTCAGCCACTTTCCTGGCCCAGGGCCCCTCCAGGCCTCCAAGCCACTCTCCATGGGTCTGATGCCCACTCCATTCAAGCACCTGGATATACAACTGTGTCTGAGCAAGGAGACAACAAGGGGGTCCCAGTCCACCGGCAGCACTGGGCTTGGAAATTCTCAAACTCAATGCTCTTGGGCTACCTGGAGGCCTGCTAGACAAAAGGTTCTTCCCAATGGGGTGTGCATAATGAGGGAGAGTCAATGGGTGGGCCTGACCCTTCAACCCACCAGAGGCTCTGCTCTAATCCACTTTGCATATGGGCATCTGTTTGAGGTTTCAGTGGGGGGTGGCGGGTGGGGGGAGATCAGAGTTCACTTCAATTACAAACAAAAGAGCAAAACAACTTTGAAAGCCCCCATTGATCTAGCCCAGTGTTTCTCAAACTTGAGCATGCCTCAGATCTCTGGAGGGCTGGAAAAAACATGTATGGCTGGGCCCCTCCCCAGAGCTGCTGATTCAGCATTTAGGACTGGGGCTGGTATTCTGTATTTCTAGTCCCAAGGGATCCTAGTGTTGCTGTTCTGGGGACAAATTTTAAGAACCACTGATCTAACTCAAATTTTCCCTTCAGAGCAAGGGAAGGTGATTTTTCCAAGGTACCTTGGCAAGTTAGAGATTAACTAGACTAGAACCCCCATCTCTGGCAGCCCCTCTCCCCACTTCCCACCCTAGCCCTGCCCTGTCCAGGGCTTTTCCATCACACCTGGTCACCTGCTCCAGGCCTTCCCTGAGCTTGTAAGTTAGATAGCATGTAGCCCATTTTCATCCATGGGTTATTTGGATTTTTCTGGTTGATGGACTGGCCTAACCCACATCCTCCCGTGTCCCATCCTGCCAGACCTCCCTGCAGGAACTACCTCCACACAATGAGTTCTTCCCCTTTGTCCAGTAAACACACACACACACACACACACACACACACACACACACACAAAATCAAACGGGCCCCCACTGAAATACAGCTGTGAGATGATGGGAAGCTGAGAGCCTGGCAGAGAGGTCACTCAGGCCTGGGCTCTTGGGCTTTATCCCAGGGACAGTGAAAAAAAGGAGAGAATTCCAGAGCCCAAGCTCAAACAGAGTCTTTCATTTTGGGAAGTTGCATTGTACCCCCGGGTTATCAGGATGCTTGCTTCCTATAACCTCACTTCATTCATTATTAAGCCTTCCACAATCTCGTTCTTATTTTATTTTATTTTATTTTATTTTATCCAATACATCCTGATTGAGTCCTAGATCCCGGGATACAGAAAGATAGGTTCTAGCCTGCCTTCAAGGACTTCACAGTCAGGGAGGAAAATAAGCCCAGACAAGTTACCACCTTGTGATGGAAAAAGAAGGGAGTGCCTCAGAGGTGAGCAGTGAAAGAGAGGAATGGGGAGGGTTTCATCAGGTAGATAGGAAGATGTTAACTGACAAGGAGCATGGGCTTGGGGCAGGGAGGACATAGTCAGTGTAAGGATTAAATAATAAGAAATATCTATTGACTATTCACTGTACACAAAGTGCTTTCCATACTTCTTTTGTCTTCACAACCAACCTTCCAGGAGGTACCATTATTAAATCCTCACTTACAAATGAAGAAACTGAAGCTCAGAGAAGTTATTCAACTTACCCAAGGCAACACAGCTACCAAACTTATATTTTCTGTCTTAGAACCTGGTCTCTTAGCTACTTAACCGTCTTACTGCTCTCAGCTAGTGTCTGTTTGGAGGGCAGTGAGGAGTAAGTTTACTGAAGCACTGGACAGGTGTGGGAGTAGTAGGAATGCAGTGGGAAAGATAGGGTGGGGCTTTGTTTGTTCAGGGGCTTGACTGCCAGGGTGAGTCATTCGAACCTAAGTCAGGAGGCTTTGGGGACTACTGAAGGGTTTGAGCAAGAGAGGGACACATGGCACAACTGTGTTTTAGGGAAATTCCTCTGACAGCAGTGAGCAGATTGGGTTGGAGAGGGGAGCCATTGGTGATCAGAGACCACACTGGAGGCTACTGCAAAATTTCAGAAGCAAGAAAACGAGGGCCTGGCTTAGAGCAGAGTGGCAGGTAGGGTGACCCAAAGGCAGATGCTCTTCTCACCACTGATATTGCAAATATTTTCTGACCACTGACCACATGCTTTACTTATATTAACTTATTTAATTCATTGAATCCTAAGAGTGGCTTTTACATCAGATTCCTTCCCTTTTGACATTTCCCCCCTCCTTTATCTTGACTGATGGGTCCCGAAGCCTGGCAGTTTTCCAGTTTGGTGTCCAGGACCTAAAACTTCTTCCTTGAATATTGATGAATCATGGGCTGAGACAATTCAGGGTTAAGAAAACATGATCAGTCCAGCCGGTGTGCTCAGTGGTTAGCATCAACCCATGAACCAAGAGGTTACTGGTTCAATTCCTGTTCAAGCCACAAGCCTGGTTTTCAGGCCTGAACCCCAATAGGGTGCATGCAGGAGGCAGCCAATCAGTGATGTTTCTCTCTCATCACTGTTTCTATCTCTTTATCCCTTTCCCTTCCCCTCTCTCTAAAAATCAATAAAAACATATATTTAAAAAAATAAATTATGATTAATCTCAGAACTATTTATTTTCTCCATTTGATAGCTAAGGAAGCTGAGAACTGGAGAGGATAAGTAATTTGTCCTCTCTAGGCAGCCACAGAAGCTGGACCAGAAAAGGAACATCTTTTCTCTGCCTACACCATGCTCCTGCCCTCCTGCTTCTGGGCCAGGCTGGAGGCCCTGCAGCTGTGGTGGCTGCCAGATGGCATCTCAGTCACCAGGCTGGAGGGCGCCTGAGGACGCTGTGGTCAGCCCCAGGTGGGCAGCCCATCTACCACACTGACACTGTGGGCACGGAGCAGAGGGCCTGAGTGAAGAGAGCACGTGCGGTGGAAAGGGCAAGAATGTTGGTGACTCACGCACTTTGTAGTGTTCACAGCTGCTCAGGGGGCATCCCAGCTTGGACCAGGCAGCTGCCATCTCCACTTTGTCTGAGAGTCATGCTTGGCCCAAGCAGCCATCACAGTAAGAGCAGAAGAAAGAAAATTGGGCTGTAAACGGGTAGCACTGGGCAGAAGAGATAGTAGCTAGTTGTGCGTTAGAAAATCTCAGCTCCACTCCCAGCTCTGCTCTTGCTCTTTCCAATGGCATCACCTTAGGCATGCTGTCACCTGAAGCTGATGAGCCTCACTCTTCTCATCTGTTTGTGGTACTATAATCTTTGCCTGCCTTATCTTGCAGATATGGAGAGTGACCAGTAGCCTAATGAATTTAAAAAAAAAACAAAACCTTTTTGCAAGTCTAGAGGGTTCTACACATATATATGTATACTAGTGGCCCGTTGCACGAAGCCTTCTTCACTTTCTGCCCTAACTGCTGTGCAGTGTTACCGTGGGCTAATGGCTGCCACCTTCCACCCCACACCTGGATGACATCCAATGGCAGGTAAAAATATTCCTTCCTTCAACAAATAGTTAGAGGAGCCTCTGGAAGGAACATGAAGTGTGCAGCATCACTGAGGCCCACTTGCCCTGCCATTGCCTTGTTTTTGGAATTGGTCACCCTCTTGGCTCTTCTTCCTTCAACTGCCCCTTTCTATGCTTCCCAATACTGTCTGTTGATGGACTGGGAGTTCTGGTCTAGAATCACAGAAGAGCACAGCATTTCAGCTGAAGGAAATTCAAAAATCACCCCCTTTTTTCTAAGCAGTAGAACCTTCTCTCCCCTTCTCCCCGCAAACAAACCTGACCTAGATTCCCAGTATATCAGGTAGACAATGCAAAGTGCCTTTGGTTGAAGAAGGGTTAGGGGGCTTAGTTTAGTTTCCCCTTCCTCCTCACTCTCAGTGGTGTGGAGGCCAAGCTACCAATCCCATAAGCCCCTAATTTATTTAAGCCTTTTCATTTTAGAAGTGATGGTTGTTGAAACCTAGAGGCTTATCCCAATTCACTCAGTGAGTCAAAAGAAGAGGCCAGTTTAGGACCATGGTTTCCTGATATTCAGTTCAGGATGTATCTAGTATCCATATCCAAATTCCCCAAAGCTTACAGCATGGGTGAGATACACAGTAAATACTCAGAAAATCCATGTTAAATGTCATTGACCTCAATTAAAAGAGGTTCTGGTGCTCTTAGGCTCCAATTTAACTGCTGGCCCCTGCATCGTTGGTTGGCATTAGATGCTTTGAGGCCTCCTTTTTTTTGTAATGCTTTTGTACCACAGACCAACAAAGTGATGATAGAGAGGATTGGTAGGAGGACTTCAGGATTCTCCCCTTTCTGTTGATTGTAATTAGGAAAATAAGTCAGACAATTTGGTTCAAACCCTAACCCTACTAAATCAAACATCTATTATAGTGTGTGACCACTTACTAACCCTCTCTGAACTTTATTTTTCTTATCTGAAAAATGGGGACAAATATTATTTAGCTCACTCAATAGCTCATTCATTTGTTCTTTCAACCAACATCATAGGAGGTACCCTATGTGTTAAGAATTCATTGCAGTGAAGAGAGATATGGCCCCTGTCCTGATGAAGCTCACCCTTAACAAGGAAAACTATTCCAGTCTAATGTTATACCCTGTGATAATGCAGGATAGAGGAAGTGCTGGGTACTGAAGGGACATGGGCTAGGAAAACATAGGCCTGGGCTGAATCTTGAAGGGGAAGAGTTTTCCAGGTGAAGAATGGACTAAGAATGTGCAAATGTTAAGAGAACATAAGGAATCCAAAAAATGTTTCATCATATGGATTCCTTTGTCTAAAGACCTGGATAGAAGAAAGCATGTGGTGAGGATTTACTAATATAAGATAA